CACGCCCCATTAACTCATTCACTCTCACAGTCCTAGGCATGTACACACAACCAACTCTCTCTCTCACACACACACAGGTATCTGTTTCTCACAATCACACTTCACTGATGTTCGCTCACTCATGGCATGTCTACGCTGAAAACTATGGTTCACGCAAGTTACGTCGGCATAAAGCTGCCCCAACTAGTACATCGCTTGTGTGCATGCAGTCTTCTCTCCTTGTGTCAGCACTGCACATACTCTCCAGGAGTGCTTATATCGATGCATGGTGCAGTGCCCCACGGGTAGATGTCCCAGTGTACAATGTGCTAGCATCCAGCTCACCGTCTTTTGAGAAGTTTTCGCAGTGCATAGTGGGGCAGAAACAAGTTACACAAGGATTACTGGGAGCAAAGGGTCAACTTCCCATCATGCAACTGTCTCCATCCCACAATGTCATCTATATTCCATAATTTTAATGCCTTCATAAAACATCCCATGAACCCACGGCCCTCGTCACTGTCTACCATCTGTAACAGATGCATGAAGCCTGCACAGCTCTATGTTATTGTCATAAGCATTGCAAGCACGATCCTCCAGGAAATTTGCAGAGTCATAAGAAGAACCAAATCAGCGGGGAATATGAAAGTTTCTTTGAGGACTGATAGCATGAACCAACTTAAGTTAGCTGGTGGCATTCACAGAGCACCTGCAGATGGTGGAGTGTCGCTTCTGGGCCTGAGAAACGAACACTAACTGGTGGGATTGCATTGTAATGCAGGCTTGAAATGACGAGCTGTGGCTGCAGAACTTTTGGATGTACATGGCCACATTCCTGGATCTGTGTGCCAAGTCTCACCCTAGCCTTCAATTGCACTGAGAGCTGCACTGACAGTGAAGAAGCAAATGGTGATTGCATTGTGTAAACTTGCAAGGCCAGATTGCTAATGGTCAGCGGGAAGTCATTTTGGAATTGGAAAATCCACTGTGATGCAAGCATGCAGGGCCATGAATATGTCTCCTGTTACGCAGGATTGTGACTCTCAGCAATGTGTAAGACATAGTGGATGGATCTGCAGCAATGGAATTCCCAAATTCACTAGTTCGATCCTCTTCCCACAAAAACTAACCAGTTCCCTTCCCTCAGTTTCATCAATCTCTTTCTTATATTTTCACCACTCATTATTACTTGCATGCTAGCAATGCCTAGCGTCTCCAAGAACAGAACAGGGCCCCACTGTGCTAGGCACAGGTAACAAAAAAAGACAATCCTAGCTTGAGAGAGTTTACAGGCTAGGTTTATGACAGGATGCAAGAGCAGGATGAAACAGGGAGATAATGGTCAAGGGAGCACCCCAGGGGACAAAAACAGTAAAACAAGCAAGTTTTTGCATAATAAATAACTAACCACCTAGCCTTTGGCATAACCTATCTCTGAAGACAGGGATAGCCTATGCTACTGTATTTCTGCATCTGCCATTGATCAGAAAAAGAACAGGAGTACTTGTGGCACCTTAGAGACTAACAAATTTATTTGGGCATAAGCTTTCGTGAGCTAAGCTGTAAGGTGCCACAAGTACTCCTTTTCTTTTTGCGAATACAGACTAACATGGCTGCTACTCTGAAAGCTGTCATTAGATCAGAGTGGCATAGACATTTGTTTCCATCTTTTCACAAACACTTGGCATTTGAAATGTAAATGAAACTGTAAAAAATCCTTTTACATTCATTCTCAGGACTGCTGGAGACTCTATTAGGTATAAATGATGACAATGTTAGCATTTTAATGCTTGCTGTATGACATAAGCAACACTTCTGGCAAAGCAGGGTGATTTCAGAAAGCAACACTGCAGTTTTGGACAAGGAATTCTTCCATGTTACTCCCATCCTTTGGAAGTCTGAATTTAACATAACAAAGACCCTGCTGGGCTGAGCTACTGGATCTCAATGTCCCATTAGTTCAATGACTGAGTAGGCTCTTTGTATTGATTGGTGACTTCTTGTAGGCTAGAAATTACTGCCATTCTGCTCTACTAGGCCCTGGTTACACTACAGAAATGAACTGTGGCTAACTGAACTGATGGGATATCACTGTTCTAAGCACCAATGGTACAGTGTATCCACACTAACCATGCTGTTTTGAGATAAAACCCATGACAGTTTTGGCCTCATCTGCAGAAGTGCTGTTCTACAGCTTTGCCATTGCCCTACTCCCTGGGTATCTCTCACAATTCCTATCACAGGCTTCTGGAACTTATTTTTGCACTGCTTTCACTGGGGAGTAATAGCTTGCCCTGCTACTGTTGCTTAATTGAATAAGGTGGTAAATTCCTGATTTTGGGGAAGGGAATCTCAGTTTTCTAGGAGTCTCTCATCTTGTCACAATTCTGGGGAGTTGCAATAACATAGGAAGGAAGAGCAGAGACCTAATTCTCCTTACTGTCCCCTCCTGCGTCCCTCTGAAATGAAAAATATTTCTGAATCATTCATAGCCTTTGAAAACCTTTTGGGGCCAGTGTTATTTTGTCCCCAGTACACATACCAGAATATACAGAACAATTCTGAAATGCAAAACTGGGATCTTACCTCTGAAGTGAAATTGAAATCATTGCAGAGGGGCAGCTTTTGGAGTTAAGGTATTAGTAACTCAGCAGCAAGACAAATCTCATTATTCTGTAGAATACTGGAAACAGACATATTCAGCCCTGGGGGCTCCTAGATGGTTGCCCCTCTTTCAAAGCATGATGGCCTCAGGAAACAGTATGCAGGCCTTTAAAAATATGACCCCACAAAATGTTTAGAGACGGTTTAGGCATTAACATTAATGTTGGATAGTTCTGGAAAACCCCCAGATCGGCTTGGTTTTGTTTTTAGCCGCAAATCATACAGCCATGAGTCCAACTGCTGTTTCTCCCTGACAGAGACTGACAAAGATCCATGCATGATGGAGAATAAACACTACAATTCAATATGCTACTCTGTAGTACTAACCTCCTCACAAACACATATTTTATTCCAACCACACATCCCTTCAAACAGTAAATTGCCTGAGAACATGGTAGATTGTATAATACTGAGCTATTCAACTATTTTATATTTTAAAATTTCATTTAACTCAGGAGCTACATTTCTAAGGCATTTTCTGTCTCCAGAAATGTATGTACACATAAACCCTTTACAAACTATATGAGGCTGATGCTGTAAGCACTAGGACCTAATTCACTGTTGTCCTGCAGCTTGTACAGTCAGTTACACCAGTGCAAAGTGAGGGTAAAGCATTATCAAATCAGAATGGTGTTTTATGCCTTCCTTGCATTTGTGCAAGTCACTACACATGATGGATAGCACTGGGATGGTGAATCAGGCCCCTGGCCCTTGGGTCTACAACAGGACTACGTATGTGGTAATATGCATTATGATTGGCAGTTGCAGGATCAGGTTCTGTTTACATACAGACTCTCCAGCCCCTTCTGCTGTGATGGGAGGCTTCAAACCCAGTTCTTGGTTTATAAGGTTTTATAAGAAAGATTATTATTATTATTACTTGCATTACGGTACTGCTATAACTGCATGACACTCAATTTTCCCAGTGTGGAAAGACTAAAGGCAGTGTATACAACTAGGCTTTGAAACTGCGGAGGGATTTGCTCCAGTATCCTTTGCCAAAATTTCACTACTCCCTCACCGTCATTGCTTTATGTCAGTTGCCTGCCTAATAACTGCCTTCCAACAGAGAGGTGGCTACATTTCAGTGATGCTATAAATCACTTTAGAATCCTTCAGAAAAGACAACTATAAATCATTAAAACTATATATTTAAAAAAAAAACTCAAAACATTAGAGATTCAGGTCATTTCTTTTCCACAAATTTCACTCTCTGCCAATAATTTATCCCCTATAATTGCATTGGGGAGGATTAAGGCCTACAAATTGCATTCATGCTTAGCATCTCTCTGGTCTAGCTCGTCCCCTTGCTTTCTGTCTTTCTTTCACAGATCTTCTCCTTCTGCCCTTTAACTGTCCATCTATCTCTTCTACTTCATCCATGTCAACTTTCCAAAATATACAATGGTGGCCGATTTATAGCATCCCAAAGGGTTTGAATCTGGCGAGGAATGTCCAAAACTGGCAAAATTTTCATAGTTTTTGGGAAGAAAAGGCTAGTGTTGATTCAAAGTATCATATGAGCCAAACTGTAAAATATACAAGTGTTATTTGCTTTTTTCTCCCTTTTCTCCCAATTCTCCACTTCTCCTTTGATACCAAGTTTTTTCTTTGATCTCTTTTAGTGTCTAATTTTTCACCTTTTAGAAAATGTTATAGTTCACTCCCTCTTCCCCTTAAAATCTTCTTTCTTCCAGACATTTTTTCTTTTCTATTTGGTCACCCTTTTTTGACTTTCCATATTTTTTCCTTCTCTTTTCCCATTTCTCTCCATCTCTGGTCCCTTTTGCAATGGGTCCTGCTCACCGTCCCAGTGTGGGTGCCTTGAAACTAGAGTTGGTAAGATCATTATATTATTTGTGCTGGAGCAACACCTGAGATGGAATCAGGACACCAAGGTGCTAGGTGCTGTATGGACAAGAAGACACAGTCTCTGTCCCAATAAGCTCATAGTCCTGAATATGAGGATACTACCCTCTCATTGCAAGTGAGTTAACCTCCCACCTCTGTACCCTTGCCTCCCCTGCCACTCAAACAGGAATCTCCCCTTACACTGAACTCCAGGCCTAAGGCCCCCATCTCAGTTTGATGGATGTAACTCTGCACCAATTAACAGCCTCTCTGAGGGCTGAAGAGGGAGGAGAGTCTTCCCAATAGGAAGGGACAACTGCCTCATGAGTAAGCCCCTTTGATCTTTAGCGGTATTAAACTCCGCCCCTTCTTCCTCTTCCCGACCCCTGAATGAATGAAGTCTCTGCTGGCCAATGAGAAGTTTTCGTACGGCTTGATGGACTTTCCCAATCTTCAATAGGAGCTTAGAATCGTGGCGTAGCCTCCAATGAGATGCCAATGCTGAGCAAAATGGGCGGGCTCTGCCTCCCAGGCGGGCGGAGAAGGCCGCGGTTATCGATCCCGCTGCTGGAGGGAGGCGGCGGCGAAGCAGCAGAGAAAATGGCGGCCATGGCTGCGGAGGCGGCGGCGACTGCAGCGGTGCCGGGTGACGGGGGAGCCGGCGAAGCCGAGCCTGAGATGGAGCCCATCCCGGGCAGCGAGGCCGGCGCAGACCCCCTCCCCGCTGTCAGCGAGGCTGTGGAGTCGGCTGTGCCTGATGGGGACGAGGCCGACGGGGGAAAGTCCGCTCCGGGGGAGGCCGAGGAGCCGCCGCCGCCGCCCGTAGAGCTCGCCCGGAGCCCGGCTAGGACCCAGGAGCCGGAACCTGAGAGGACGGAGCCGGAGGAACCGGAGCTGGGTTCGCCCAAGGCCGAACCTAGAGGACCGCCCAGCCCGGAGCCCGAGGAGGCGCCGCAGCCCTGCCCGCCGCCTGGTGGGCACCCTGAACTTCCCGAGGAGGAGCCGCAGCCCTGCCTGCCGGCTGCTGGGGGCCCCGTGGAGCCGGAGCCCGGGGAGGAGCCGTGCCGGCCGGAGGAGGAGGAGCCGGATGCTGCTGATGCTGCCGCTGTAGAGCCGGAGCCCCCGGCCCCCGGCTCCCCGGTGGCCCCGGCCGCGGGGGAGGCGGAGGCTCCGCTGCTGCCTGGCTCGGAGGTGCGCGTCACCCTGGACCACATCATCGAGGACGCGCTGGTGGTGTCGTTCCGGCTGGGGGAGAAGCTCTTCTCCGGGGTCCTCATGGACCTCTCCAAAAGGTGAGATGCCGCTGGAGAACAGCTCCTCCCGGCCGGGAGAGATCAGCACTTCGGGGGGATCCCTGGGCCTGACCCCGAGGCCCTCAGGGACTTCCGCAAAGGGTGAGAGCGGGCCCGGGCTCCGCAGCTCTCGGTCAGCCGCCTCCCTCCCTCCCCGTTGAGAGATGGAGTGTAGGGGACTCAGGCTCTGTACAGTAGCAGCCCTTGGCCCGCCATCCTTCCTGGAGATGGAGGCGGGGTGTTTGGAGCCGATTTACCCCCTTTAGCTCTATCTCGTTGTGTGAGGGTGGAGGAACTGCCCCGTGTTAATTACTCCCTATCTAAAGAACCCGGCCTTATCGCAGGCTAAGCCCCAGGCCGGGCCATGATGGGTAGGAACGGTGCCCCCGCAGCCTCGTTGCATTGAGACAATGCCTAACAGCACCTTCTCCGACCGCCAGTTCTGATGCGATGTAGCCTCTGCTGCTGCCACGCACGGTCTCTGGTCTTCTGGCCTACTACTGGGTTAAAGGTAAGGGAGCGGCCCTTTCATTTTAAGTAATAAAATAGGATAAAAGTTGGTCACTGACCAACAAACCTTTACTTTTCCCCCCCACCTTTTCGTGCTGCTGTTTTAAATAATAAGAGTTGTTGCCTTGTGGGAATTAGAAAACATGAGGTAGGCAGGAAGAGCACATGGTCAATTCCCTCTAACTCAGTTAGGATTCATCTTGGGCCTTCTTAATTCCATGGTCCTGTTAACAGTCATGAGCTTGAACTGCAGAGAATTGGCCTGAGCCTCCCCAAATCATAGGGCTGTTCAGATCTAGAGTTCTGTTTTGGGTGCTCATCTCTTAATTTACAGCTTGCATTGACCAAGTCATGTCGTGCTATCCTTTAAAAGCCCGCTGACACCTTTTGGATTACAGCAGTCTTCAAATTGAAGATTCTTGGAGTCCTGAAGGGTTTACTAGTATGATTCTCCTTGCATCTGGGGAGGGGCTTTCTCTTCAAGGAACCAATATCCACCTAGTAAATCTGGGCCCGAAGAGACAGTTTTGTTAGTTCAAGTCCAGCATTTCGGGGAAACTTGCACAACTTGATGGGAGTAAAAATTGTTCAGAAAATTCTAAGGAAAGTATTTACGGATATTTATATTTCCCCAGTGATATCTTCTTTAGTGTTTGTAGTTTAATACTTCAGCATTAAGCAAGTATAGAACAAAGTGACATTGACTAGGCTATTTTCATTGCCTGTTCTAAGTGAAGTGCAAAAAGTAAAAAACACAAATCTTGGAAAACAGAATTTGCAAATGTTCTTAAACTCTAGTAATCCAAGATAGTGGTTGTGACATAGAGAACCTGTATCAATTTAAATAAATTATTTACTTATATGGTCTCTCTGCTCTTAGTGCTTCCTTTAGAAATGGGGCCAATGGCTTTGTGCATTTTTGCTTTCAACCAGCTTGTTTTTTGGGGGGGCAGATATTTAGAGAGGTGTATGGCCTTTTCTAAGATCAATGAAGATGATTTAAGATGTTAGAAACATCTTAAAAATCGTGGAAGCTAATTCCACAGCTCAGAAGTTAACCACCTATAGTTTGAAAAGTCTAAAGGCACTTTCACATTTTATTAAATTGATTTGAGGCTGATCTTTAAGTGTGTAATGTACATTTCTAGTGTGAAATACTGAAAAGCCCCAAACCAGTGACGGGTGCATTCAGTTAACTTATTTTTTAATTCTATTCTTTTGTAGATCTGAAGTCCAGACCCTCAGAATTGCTGGCTTTCACTCTGTTCAGTCACTTGCACTATGTGGGTGTCAAAGCACTTGCCATTAAATGACTCTGGATCCTGTATGTATGAGTAAGGAAAATCCTGATTTATTTCCCCTCCTGAAAAAACAAACAAATCACCTGCGTTTTATTAAACATGTACATTTGACCCAGTGTATCCCCATAGATGTAAATGTCTGGGGTTTTTGGGTACAAAAATTGTCTCACCACTGAGGATCCTCCAACATGTGAATTTCCAATATCCCTTTGAGGCACAGGGCCATCTGCATAGAAGCACTATGGCTCCACACGGATGAGGAGGGGCTCCTTGATTCCTGGGTAGTATGGCGTCAGTGGATCCATGCTTCCAAGATTGCCCCAAATCATTTGTTAAAGGTAGGGGGAAGCATTCCTCATCACAGAGGACTTTGTGGAAAAGGTAGTATAGCTAAGGGTTGTATTACCTCTTCTTATGGGCTGATGAGGGAATGATGCATTTTCTGTGTCTGCCCCTCTGTCCATGTGCATCCTGGACTTCATGGATGGTCCCTCTTCAGGTGGATGTGGAAGATACAGTTTGGACACTCTCTCTCTCTCTCTCTCTTTAAACCAAAGCTCTGAAGCGGGCCTAGGGTGAGAATTGGGCTTCCTTACATACAGGCTCTGCAATGTTTTGCTAGTGATACCAGTGTATGTGAGCTGGCAAGTGAGATCTGGACTCAAATCCCCAAAAGAAGAATAAAGTAGTATGTTAACTTTAGAAATGTACTAGGTACTTTTTACCTATAGAATATTTCAGCACTTAGGTGTTAAACACATTTTTTTAAATAAACTCCACTTCTGTGCTATTTTTATTTTGCCGCAATTAGCTTATCTAGATTTTTACGCTTTGGTGGCCTGTTACTGCCTTAGGACAGTGCTGTCAATATCAGAAAACTATGATGGTCTCTTCATTTGACTTTTATGAGATGTATAATTCATGTAGCAGGACTTGTTAAAAACATCAGCAGTATACAAGTTTTGACTAACCTTAACTCTTTTGGGAGTCTCTGTTTACTGAATGTTGCAGTTTTTTATAGGAATCATTACACAGGGGAAAAACCAAACCAAAAGCCCCCACAAGTTCTAACATTGGTTTACTTGAAACGGTGGGAATCCTAATATAGAAAAAAATATGTCCATTGGAACTTTGCTCCCACCAGTTCATCTGAATTTGTGGGAATTTTTCTAAACTTCTCCAGTGCAGACATAGCCATTGCCTCCAAATCTGCTTCTCCTAGAAATCTTAAACTTATCAGTTCCTATGAAAGTCAAGTACGTTTTTGGTAAGGATAAAAAAAAAAAAAATCTAATCTAGTCCACTTTTTTTTTAATGGTTACCAACATCTTCAGTTACAGGTGCTAACTCACCCTACCCACAGTGAACTATGATTCCCCCCACCCGTCTTACTCTCTGAAGAATGAAGATTAATAGCACTTGTATTCTAGCAAATGGAAATGAGGCTGCTGTTTGCCTCATTATTGTATGGCAATGAGTTTGAAGGTTAACTTGTGTGTAAAAAATATGCATTTCATACAGGCAAGTTTATTGCCCCTCTGAATTTTAGTGCTGTCACTCCTGTATTGTGGGATGGAAGCACAGCCGAAATGCTTTCGACCAATTTTGTTGTTTTTCTCTGAACCTCTACTACTTCTGTTTCTGCTGCTGAAATGAAATGCTAGCCTTTTTATTTATTCCAGCAGAGTTTTAAATGAGGTCAACAGTGCATATATAAGGGAACATTGTCAATTACATTTTTAATTGACAAATATGAACATTTTTTCTGTTGGAGTACCCCCTTTAAATAGAATGTCCTATTTAAGTATTTATGGCCCTCATCACTGAGCAAGTGCCCTAATCACTAATGAATTTTATCCACACAATATCCCTGTGAGATAAGGATGTATTATACCCACTTTTACAAATGGGGATTTGAGGCACAAAGTAATTTAGCAGCTTCTCCATGGTCACACAGGAGGTCAGAAGTTGCTCTGGGAATTCACCTGGGTCTCCTGGATCCCACTCCAATTCCCTGTATAATTCCAATCGAACATTTTTCATACCCAGGACCTAGTTCTTAAGGAGAGTTTTTGTACCCATGCTGATGTTCTGAAGTGTCTTTTTGGAAAATTCAAGAACAAGCATCACTGAGTCGACTCTCCTCCTGTTTACATTCCCACATGCCTGCCTGCTGCTGATTTTAACTCTAGTAGTGCTGCTGCTATTACCTTTAAGCTCCTTGCATAGTCTCAGGAAGGTAATGCTTGAGAGCTCCTTCCCAGTGCATAAGCGGTGGTATCATCTTAATGCATGAGATGGGAAGTGTAGCTGACTATCAAAACAGAAATTGATCATGCACATGGTGACCTTGGATAGATATTTTTCTCTAACATTTTAATTATAGTAATATCAGTTGCCATCTGCAAAAATTGTTAGACACAATCTCCTTTTAAATTAATGTATTTCTACGCATGCAATGCATTCTGAGGGTCTTATGACACTGCATGCAGCTATATTGGTTTGTGATACATTAATGCCACCTGCTGGCTCAGAATTGCGGCAAGGCTCACTCTGCACCTGGAGAAAGCAAACGTTAGTAAGTATAGCACTTCTAAATCTTAAGAGGTGGTGTGGGAGTGCTTTTCATCCTGTTGGAACACTATTCCAGGATTGAAAACTACATTGGGCGGGGTCTTAAGACTTCATCGTGCCGAAAAAAAAAACCTAGTCCCTCATGTCTAGTTTTTTTTAAGTTATATTTTCTTGTGAACAATCACAGAATTCTTAGCTTAGAAACAGAAAGATTTTGTTTCTAGCCCTGGTATATCATGATGTATTGAACCTTAATCACAATTCTGACATGCAGGGTTTTTTCCCTTTTTTGAATTTCATCATAGCAGCTCTGGAAAGAACAACCATGAGAGCTAGAAACCAAAGTCTTTTGCCATTTGAAAGCTTGAGATACCAGAATTCAGAGGAGAGAGCATTAATCTCTAGCAATCTGACATATAACTTTGTCTGCCAATATGAAAAGAGGGTTTTGGTTGGGAACAAAATGGTAATGAAAATGATTTTTTAAAAGCAGAGTTGTCATGTAACTTATCCATTTGGCTTAACTGAACTTTATAAATCTTTAACTCGTTTTGTAAAATTGCTTTTTGTTGCTTTGTTATGGTACTGTCTCCCAATGATACCTCTAAAGTGGTT